TCAGCTAGTAATAGATTAAGATGAGAGGAGAGGAAAAGAAAAAACATCATCTGATCTCTGCCCTCTTTTCTGCCTAATAGTTTTCTCCTTTATTTTTCTTGTATTGTAATTCTCACTGATTTTTCCTTAGAAAAACTATTGCTCCAAGATAAAGATTCTGCAGATCTAAAGCTCAGAGTCACTTTTGTATCATGAGAGGCTCTAAGGACTGTTAAAACAAAACTGAAGCTCTTTTCTTTGAGGATGAGACAAATTTTAGTTAGCCTCAGAATAATCCTATCTCATGAAAAAGAACCATTCGGGTTATCTGCTGTGGCCAGGTCTTGTACCCCGGGGAGAGACCTGCCTCTTCTGTGAACCAGCCGGTGCAAAAGGAATGAGTCAGACACGGCTTCTTGCCTAGGTTTCCCCCTTTGGCCACATACCTGGCAGTTCCTAGTGTCTTTTAAAGAGCAGGCGAGGGGGAAAAGCAGCATAACGTAGCCCCAGCACCCCGGCCCGCGCTTCACTCACCATTTGCAGGCTGCTGGTGACCTGCTTGCCCAGGGGTTTGTGCTGGGAAATGCTCATGTCCCCCCGCGCCGCGGCGGCTCTGCAGACAGGGAAACCTGTGCTCGGTCCTGCCTGGTCCTGGGTTGCTGCCAGAGCACTCCTGGCTCTGCTCCAGCCCTTTGCTCCTCGGTGTGTCTTTGCTTCCAGGGTTTTTTCCTTTTTTTCCGAGCTCCCAGCACTGCTGCTGCCCCGGAGGCTCCAGCTGCCTCCAGGCACTGCCCTGTTACAGGTTTCGGCTCTAAGGAGAGGGGAGGGAACACTATGGAAGCGGAAGTATTTGCTCATTCTGGCAGCCAGCGAGGTGCAGGGTGGCCCTGGGCGGGCGGCCCAGCACAATCCTCCCGTAATAATATCCGTGCAGTGACGAAAAGCCGGATAGTCCTCCCCAAAGGAGGCCCAGAGCAAATCCAAGGAGTCCAACAATGGAGGCACCTGTGACCGTTTCTACCTCAACAACCCATTGTACCAAAACCAGTGATTTTTTTCCCTGGCTTCTTGGCCTCTTTGCACTGTTTTCAAAATGCAGCAGTTTATCAAAACCATTGATCCCATTTATCATACCTGTCAATGTCAGATCAGGGTGCCTGGAATACACCAAGGTGGTATTACCTTGTGCAGGATAAATAAAATGAAATCTATGCCTCAACCATTATTTTATAATAGGTCAGAGGTCTGGCTGGCATCTTTGCACATTGCTGTTTTATAATATTTAGCATTCATAAGGATCAAGGTAGGAAAGCCCCACAGAGTCAGTGGCAGTGGGACAGCACATTAAAACTCCCCAGGAAGAGCTAGAGACCTGAAGCCCACAGCCAAAATCCTGCAGAGTTTCTTGTTCTAGGTGTTTCTGAGGGCACCGTTGCTTGCAAATTGTCCTAAGGTTACTCACCCTGTATGTGTCTCTTTTTCATTATGGTAGCAATCATACGTTGTGGGCATGACTGTCCAAGGGTGTAAGTCAAAGTCTGTAAAGAGACAATGTCTTTTATTAGATCAACCGACACAAGACTTTGCCCAGGTCTGTCAGCTTCTTCTTCAGCTGGATTTTCTCCAGTTTTGTTTTTGGACAGGCTAATAAAAGTTTACTGCTTCCTTCATCAACTTTGCTGCACTTTCTTTCATATTGCCAATGACCAGAAGTCCGGATGCTAATGACCAAAGTAAAAATCTTGGACAAAGACAGCACTTCATTAAAATCTTCCTGGATGAGATTTTGGTGGTAAAAAACGACAGCGGGGCTTATAAGGAAACCTTATGTGCATTTTTTTTCTGTGTTGTGTTCTTACTTGACTGGCTCTGCATCTTCCAAAGATTTTGGTGGATGTACATCCTTCCAAAACAGAGCATTGGTCTGAACAGAAAGTCAATACGCAGAGTAAAAAGTATTTTAATTTGTACTGATTCAGTAACTCGGGAATAAAACCGGTTTTCTGCCCAGGCCCCATGAGAGCTGGACAAAGACTCTTCTCAGTGCTTTGTGAAATCAAGTGAACCTCTTAGTGAAACCTGACTTATACCTTTCCTCTGCTGTCCTAAAACCATCCTGGGAGATCCTCCTTGTTAATAACCCATGTCTTAGTTATCCTGTTCCTTTAAATAGCAGGTCTTGGATTTTCCCTTTGCCAGACCAGAAGAGTTAACAGTGCTGGATGCAGTAGAACAGGAGTTCTGCTCAGACGTTGTGTTGTGACCTGTAAATGCCTACTGGAAAACAACTGGGAAGGTCTCAATTTTCTCAGTCATTGATTCCCGCATATCCTGAACCTTGGGCTGGCTCATATCGGTCCTTCAGAATTACCTGGGCTATAAGTGACAGAGTCCATGATTGCCCTTCACTGTCCACTTTGATGTAGGGTTAGTAACCAAATGCACCAAATCCTTACAGCCTCAGCAAAGGGTGAGGTTGCTAGCAGCCATCAAAAGTGTTTGCTGCTGCTAGACTGGCCACACATGGTCTTTCTGTTTGATTAACCTACTGCTCTGGTTCCTCCACTCTCTTACTTCTCTTTTTATATCTTAGACACTTTTGCTACCTCATTGTAGGACAAAGAATCAGCCCTTAAGTTTGCGAAGCTTTTTCAGATATTTGGTTGAAAGTCACCATGTATGTGAAAAATCTGGTTATTATTATTTGTGTTTCTTCTGGAACTTTTTAATCCTACTAACTTCAAGGCTTGCTTTAAGATGGCATTTTCACCCTTGCCATGCAAATTACTCCCAAATGGATTTTTCCTTCCTTTTTGGTAAGGACTTGATTTGAACTGCCAAATTTTTCTGATCTAAAAAGGGGCCAAACTATTGGCATATTGCTACCTACCAGTGGGGATTTGGTGTCTTTCTTTGGAGCTGGTCACACCAGAGGTGGCCTCCTGGGACCACACAGCTGACCTGTTTGGTGTGACAGTTGCCACTAATAGAAGGTTTTGCAGGGCCAACATCTAGTTCTGGGCTCTGGATCAAAGCCCTCTGTGCCTGCACTGAGTGGAAACAGTTGTTCTTGCAGTTTTTCACTCTTCTTTTGGCCCCATGGTCAAAGCAACACTGAGGAAATCAGTGGGTGGGGAAGCAACCCATGAAAGGCAAAAGTGGAATCAGGGTTTTGGAGAAGGCTGGAAGAAGCAGATCTGAAAAGGCTCTCAGCAGCCCATGGTGATGGCAACAACTAGCCCAGGCTGGTTTGAATTTCATTCTTCCCTTGGGAAGGAAATCCAAAGCCAAGACCATGAAAGTCTCCATAGCCTTGGGCAAGCAGGGTCCTGGGATTCCCACAATAGGGGTTCCATACCCCTAGGGAGGTCTTGGCCATGCAAGCAGGGTCCTGGGATTCCCACAATCAGCAGCTCCATTGTAGCTGCTGTTCCATACCCCTAGGGAGGTCTTGGGCACCACTGTGCAGTTTTCTGGAGGTTGGCTGGGTTTCTTCCATCAGGGAATGGATCTGGCTCTTCATTAGGCTGGAATTTCTACCCAGGATCTCTGCTGGGCTTTATGTTTGTCACCAGCTGGCCTGGCTCCCTGCCATCCTTCATCTTTGTAAAGCTGCACGTGATGAACTGATGTTGTTTTGGGGATCCACCTGTGGAGAAGGAGACCTCCAGAGGTGTTTGCTGAGTAGATCAATCAGGCTCTTTAAGGACTTGGGGAATGGCCAGGTAGGAAGACGCGATGTGATGGTGGGTTAAGTTCCCAATGTTCCCTTTGATAGTTGCCACTGCCTTTCCACTAGAAAAACACGTCCCTCCTGGTGGCATTGTCCTTGCTGGTTCCCAGGGAGGACTTTGCATTCACTGTATGCTGGGGACACCCAGTGCAGACCAGTGGGCACCGCGCTGCTGCCACCGACTGACTCTGCTTGTTCCAGCTCGTGTTTTGAGCACCCTGTGAGTCAGCAGAGACTACTTGATGGATCCAGGTGAGAAGCTAAAAGTGCTGTTAAACCCTGTGGCTGGAGCACCTTCATTTCTTAACAGTGAGGG